TTAAGTACGGAGCTTCACACTAACGCGAGCTCCATAGGTTATGGTGCAATACTATTTCAAGGCCGCCTGCCGAAAGTAGGTATTCATCTTATGAACTGGAAACGCTTGCGATTGCACAAGCCGTTAAACATTTTCGGCACTATCTTCTCGGGATTACATTTAAAATCGTGACGGACTTCAATTCAATTAAATCTACAATGAATAAGAAGGACTTAATTCCCCGTGTGGCCACTGGTGGACTTATTTACAAGAAATAATTTTCCGTCGAGTACCGAAGAGGCCAATACGTTCCACACGTCGACTTTTTAAGTAGGAATCCACAAGTAATGACGATCAATTCAGAGTCATGGTTGGAAGCTGCACAACCCAAAGATGCTGAAATTCAGAGAACACGCAGTGGCGATACGGTTGGTAGTGACTATGAGGTAAAAAAAGTATCTTCTTTATCGAAGCCGTTTAGGACTTCTTAGAATATATCATGACGAGCAGTGCCACGTTGGGTTGGAAAAAAACTACCAAGAACATTTTGGTTCCCAAACTTAACGAAGTTTACCAAAAAATATATCGAACACTGTTTTACCTGTCTTATAATTAAACGTCAAAGTGGTAGAAAACATGGTTACCTCCATCCAATTGATAAAACTGGCTTACCTTTTCATAAGGTAAGCCAGTGTGCAGGCTGACTGTCCTATAGGACCTTTCCCAGCCGACACACGAGCTTTTAAACATTTACTTCTTCTACACTGTTCAAAATTTCATGACCATTTTAACACCAAATTAACACCAAACATGGTCTATATCGATACAAACCAAAATGGTGTTAAATAAGGTTCGTTGGTCCGGTGTAAATTCAAATACTAAAATGGTGTTAATTTAACTTTCACATAGTATTAAAATAAATTTTACTTGGTGTAAATTGAACTCCTTTTCAGTGTTAAATATTATGTGTTTGTGGACAAATTAAATCATACTACACAGAAAAAAGGAAAAAAAAAGGCAACAGGAAGTTCCTTGACGCATTACTAGTATATTATCAGTGGTATTATTCCAGAAAATGGAACCTTCAACTCGCTAGAGATAACGTTTTTAGTGCGTTGCACTAACTTAAAATACTTCAAGTATTGACAGCTGTTTCCACCTATTTAAGGTCTCTTTAGTATCGAACAACTTGTAGTGTCACACCAAAGCAAAGGATTACCTGAGTTTATATATTCTTCATGTAAGTCAACAGAGGCGAGATTTAAGAACATCACGTGATCCACACCGCCTTTGCCGCGATCGGTACACATTTTCAACCATAATTCATGGTGTTATATTAACACCACTTGGTGTTGGATTTTGACACCATTTTAAGATTACTTTTTACACCACAGATATTTTAAACAGTGTAGTTGACGGTTTCACTAAATACTTACTGTTGCTACCATTGAAATCCTTAACGGGAGAGAAAACTTGTAAAGTTCTCGAAAATACCATCACACTGTTTGGCATACCTTTGCGACTTATAACAGACCGAGGAATAAATTTTACCGACTTCAAAACACTATCCATGTTAAAGAAGTTAAACATAGAACACCATTTGGTTGCTGCTTGAGGATCTAGAGCCAACGGTCAAGTTGAACGCTATGTTGGTACTGTGTCATTGTTAGCAGTTGAAACAAGGAATGGGTAAGAATGGACGAGTGTTTTACCCAAAATTCAGTTAACACGGAACACAACTGTTCAAACATCAACGGGGTTTTCACCACTAAGACTTTTAATCGGGGTTGATACTAACTCTCCCAGTGTACAATTGAAGACATTTTTTCAAAAACGACACATGTCCAAAATCTGCATTTTTCATGATAAACAAAAAACTTTAAAAAATGTCTGATATGCTACTAGATGGCGCATTTAGCTGGATTTGAGCATTTTGTGACATGTGAGGTTTTTGAAAGAAAGTCTTCAATTAGTTATGAATATAGAAAAGCAGAATAATTCTAAAAAATCCCAAAAACCATTAACACGGAGCAGATCCCGGAAAACCATGAATATATACAGAGCTGTCAGACAGCAGAAAGCTTAAGTCTTTTTTTTAACTTAAGTCATTTTTGTGACTTAAGTCATTTGATTTAAGTCTATTTTTTTTTGGACGACTTGAGACTTAAGACTTAAGTCATTTTCAAAATGATTTGTATTATTAAGCTTTTTCTACATTTGCGTAAGGACTTAAGTCTTTTTAAAATGACTTAAAACAAAAAAATGACTTAAGTCTTTTTAAAATGACTTAAGTCTAAAAATGATTTAAATCTTTTTAAAATGACTTAAGTCTAAAAATGATTTAAATCTTTTTAAAATGACTTAAGTCAAAATAATGATTTAATTCTTTTTAATAAGTTTTAATATTGTGGTGTTTTTAGTGGAAAAAAAAGTTTAGGTCCGGTCCTGATTTTTTTTTTTTAATGTCCGATACAGCGCTGTGCAGGTACTTTATACTTAAGTATGTATACAGTGCTTGCAAATCCAAGTCCGACCGCACTGGAAAGGACGGCTGTTCAATACCCGCGTGAAAAGAATAAGGATAGAATGCCAAACAGAATTTGATTGGTCAGAGCGTCAGGCGTGCGTATTGTAAGCGCCTTCTGTTTGGCGTTCTATCCTTGTTATTTTCACGCGTCCTTCTCAAACCGGTCGGACTTGGATTTGCAAGCACTGTATAAAATTTTATGCGATTCTATTGATACATTCCCAAGATATGATTTTTCAAAATAACTCTTAAACGATGGACCTCCGAATTTTTTCAAAGCCAGATTCGGATTCACCTCTGAAAACTACACCTACCCTTAAGCTATGTCGGTTTCCTCATGCAACACCATGTATAGAGGTTTAAATTGTTACACGCTTGAAAAAATTGACATAATCAAATTAAAGCTAGTCCGTCCCTGGCGAACTAAATACGCCAAAGGTGTTTAAAAGTTAACTATAGTTATAACTAGTTTTTTTATATTAAAAAATTATTAAGTTACTTTAAAAGTTATTAAACAATTTTCACATAAGTTTTAAAATAAGCCAACTGCTAACTGCAACTAACTTTAATTAAAGATAACATAAGTTTGGTTACATATATAATAAATATGTTTTCACTAAAAAATCGTTTTATCCACCTAAAATAAGTAATTCATTTAAAAATAGCATATACTTTAATGATAATTAAAAAAATAATATTTGAAAAAGTACCTTTTTACTGGTTACTTGAAATGGAAAAAATCACTTCAAGAAAGTTCAAATTTGACCTTCTCTACTAAATCAGTTATGAAACTTAAGAAATTTGTTATATGTTTTTAACATACCTTTATTAGTTTACTAATGAAAAAAATTTAAATTTACTCAAATATATTAATGTAGATTTTATAGGTTTTGGCCAGCTTTTTGGGCATTTCCAACACTGTGTGCCAGTACATTATTATATACAATACAATAATTGACTAATTAAGTGATCAACTTTTTGTTATGCACCTATTTTAAAAATAAATTTCATTAAAAGTCTTGTCAAAGAGTATCTATTAGATATATACTCTTTGATCTTGTTTTGAATCTCTCAAAATGAGTAAGGTTTTTGTTTTTTTTTACTTAAATCTTTTTTTTTTCGACTTAAATCTTTTTTTTTCGACTTAGGTATTTTTAGGGACTTAAGTCCCTAAAAATGACTTAAGTCTTTTTCTAGATTTAAGTCGTTATATATTTGATTTAAGTCATTTTTAATAAGACTTAAGGCTTAAAAAAAAGACTTAAGTCTTTTTGAAAGGCTTAAGACTTAAATCTTTTCTGTTTTATAGAAAAAATGACTTAAGACTTAAGTCATTTTTATTTCAAAAAAGACTTACGACTTATGACTTAAGTCTTTTTAGAAGTGACTTGTGACAGCTCTGAATATATATATATATATATTTATACAGGGTGAGTTTTAAGTTGACGCGTTCCTTTTAACAGTGTGTAGAAATCAGCTAGACAAATAAATATTTTAAGTAACTTTTTTATCAAAACTCAAAAATAAAAAAGTTATAGCCCATCAAAGTTTAATTAAATTTTAAGCCGGTCCTGGCTATTGTTAACGAAAAACATAACCATAAAAATATCAAAATAAACAATGCAAAATGTCATATTTGACAACAAACATAACCATTTAAATCAAATTGACATTTTGCAATAAAAAATACTTAAGTTGCAGCATTTGCATTTTGACGACACTCTCCATAAGTTAGTAACATTTCCACTAATTCATTATTGCTATAATTATGAACCATTTTTAACAATAATTGAGGCACAAAAAAACTGACATTTTTCATTGCTAAATGTCATTTTGATTTAAATGGTTATGTTTGTTGTCATAGATGACATTTTGCATTGTTTATTTTGTTATTTTTATTTTTATGGTTAAGTTTTTTGTTAACAATAGCCAGGACCGGCTCAAAATTTAATTAAACTTGGAAGGCCTATAACTCTCTTATTTTTGAGTTTTGATAAAAAAGTTACTTAAAATATTTATTTGTTTATCTGATTTCTACACGCTGTTAAAAGGAACGCGTCAACTTAAAACTCACCCTGTATATTCAAGGTTTTCCGGGATCTGCTCCGTGTTGTCGAAAGTAAACCAGTAAATTTCAAGTGGATACTCAACTATGGGTTGCCCATAAAACATTCTTTTTACTTTCACTGTAAAAAGCTGCTTCTATATCGGATTTAAACAGTTGTTAGTCCATTTTCAATAGATATATTTCTATTTACACATAAAAATTAAAAATTTTCCGCCTGTAATATAGATTCCCATTCTCTATACAAATATTTAATTTAAATCATTTTTAAATATATAATAATAGTTGTAGAAAAAGTATAGTATGCAACTGGTTTATAAACTTTTCTAGACACTTAGTGCCTAAATTAAATTCGTGACTAAAATGGCGTTTATTAAACTTGGTACACTAATATTAGTTATTTTTTAACTGCCCCAAATAAAACATTAATAAAATTAAAAACTAAATTTATTTTATAAAATCTTTAGGTAATAAAATACTTTTGTTTTGTAATAAAAATATCGGTAAAGCTATCACATATATCATTGACATTAATTAATTTGTTGGTCAGGTTTTTTAAAACGTATAAAATACATACAAAAAAATAAATTAATTTATTTACAAGTTAAATTAAAATCGTGTCACTTCCTTTTCTGGCGATTTTGACTGTTTCTTAATTTCGGATTTTTTTATTTTTTCTCCTTCTGCGCTGTTCCTTATTCCATAGCAAAAGTAAATAATAAATCCTAAAAACAGATGTTACAACTTTGTTTTCAGTTTTATAAATTTTAATATTTATTTACCAATAATAAGCCAGCCAACAAATCTAATCCAGGTTTCCAAATCCAATTCTAACATGAGGTATAAGTTGAATATCACGCTAAGGCAAGGTATAAATGGCACCAAAGGAACCTAAAAATTCAATTTTTGAATATTACAATTTTTTTTTGAGCCTTTTAGAAAGGCTTGCTATAAAATTTTATAATAATAAACAAATTGAGATTATCGCAAAAAACATTAAGATATTTATTTTTAGTAGGAAATTAAATTTTTCCTCTAAGATTGTTTTGGAGGTCGCCCATAATTCTATGTATTAAATGTATATAAGGAAAATTAATGATATGAAACACTACAAATGAAAACTACGACATTTCCGGTGATTTGCGACTGAGAATATACGTTCTTCATCCTTAATCAGTAACCGGTTGTATTTTTGAATAAGACTGATTCCCTGTTCTGCAGTAACATTAACAACTCTCATCTTACAAAACAAAACAAAACATTATATCGCATTAATGATGTGCAGCAAGAATATAAAAATCTTCGAGATCACTTCTGAACATATTCTCAAGCTTTGAGAGCTAAAGTTGAAGCAGATCTCGTCGACATTCTTAATTAATAAATCATGAACACAAATTAACATAAACATAGACCATATATATCTATAGATTAAACATACTTTTGTTTTTGTAGCTAATTCATTTATTAATTGAACATGATTTAATTTTGATATTTATAATATTTTCACCTCAACACCTGAAGATATCCTAGAAAGACAAAATTTTGTAGCATAAATTCTACACCAAAAATACAACTTTTGGTTACCCATTCCATTTAAAATTCGAAAAAAACAAGCAAAAATTGAAACGCACAAAAATGACCTCATTGTGGAGGCAAGATTCAACATGATTTTTTTTTCATACAATTGTGGACTACCCTGGTGTTCATTAATAGATATATCTATATATAAATAGGCTTTTTGTGCTGAGCTCAAGGTTTATAATTGAGCGAAGAACAAAAATACCCGTCTCAATCAAATGGCATACAACATTTTATCTTTTAGGCACAGTTTTATTTGTTTAATGGTACTTACAATTATAATCTGTGGCGGCTGGTGGACCCACATCAAATTTATATGAGTTTATAAATTATAATGACATTATATAGAGAAGTTCTGCGCAAGCAGAATTTAAATTGAAGTTTGCGAAAAAAAGTTAGTTATTAAGTGTGCCCCCAGCCTCCTGGCCCCCCAAATTAAGGTAATTCAAATTAAAGTGGTACAATATTTTACTCACTGAAGTATATCGACAAATTTCAAATTTTATTAAAAAAATTCAGAAATTACAGGTTTAAAGACCATTTTAAATTTTTATTATTTTTTTACTAAATTTAAAAAAAATAAAAATGATATAAAATCTGTACCTAATTCTTGAATTTTTTTAATAAAATTTGAAATTTGTCGATAAACTTCAGTGAATTAAATATTGTACCACTTTAATTTGAATTATCTTAATTTGGGGGGGCATGAGGCTGGGGGGCACACTTAAAAACTAACTTTTTTTCGCAAACTTTAATTTAAATTGTGCTTGCGCAGAACTTGTCTATATAATGTCATTTTAAACTCATATAAATTTGATGTGGGTCCCATGTCTAATAACTGAGATATGGGTGTGCACAATATCCACCAGCCGCCATTGATTATAATAAAAAATTATTAAGGGTGGTTAGGGGTGTAGAGTTTTTTATTGGTTCTTACTTACTTATAAAAAACTTCACCTGATTGGTCTAAGTTATTTTTACAGACTAGGAGATAATCGAATACTTTGGTAGTGAGCGTCAGCGGCGGCTGGTGGATTTTGGCACACCTATATCTCAGTTATTAGACATGGGACCCACATCAAATTTATATGAGTTTATAATGACATTATATAGACAAGTTCTGCGCAAGCACTTTAATTTGAATTATCTTAATTTGGAGGGGCAGGAGGCTGGGGGGGCACACTTAAAAACTAACTTTTTTTCGCAAACTTCAATTTAAATTCTGCTTGCGCAGAACTTGTCTACATAATGTCATTATAAACTCATATAAATTTGATGTGGGTTTTATGTCTAATAACTGAGATATGGGTGTGCCCAAAATCGACCAGCCGCCACTGGTGAGCGTTGACAATAATAAAGCTTAAATTATAGAACGCTTGAGACAAAATTACTTTTGAAGCTCCAAAAACATGAATGATTGGATAATTTTGTATAGTTTTCTTAATTTGAATAATAACATCTTGTTTTTCAGTTTAAAAAATGTTATGGAGATATTTGTATACTAAATATTTGGGAATTTTTAAATATTTTGAAAACTTTTGTCAACTTTACCTTAAATGTTAGGAAATCACAATTTTCGACAGGTTGTCGAAGAATAATTATAAAAGACACAACCATTCCAACGACGGCAATAACGAATAGGAACAAAACATAGTTTGGTTTTTGTATTTCATCTAATAAATTAATTATCATTGCGCAGACAAACCCAGTGAAAACACCTAAAAAATTTAAATAATTTAATAATTGGCGTCATAAATTAATTGATTAACTCGTTACGATATACAATCGCAGATTAAATTTTAATAGAATTCTTGTAAAATCAAAAATAAGAAATATAATAAAAAATCTCTTACTATAAATGCAAATAGTCCAATTAGTAATTTTTGAAGTCGACATATTTGGATATTTATTGTTGTTTAAATTGAATATTGTTTTAATGGACATAAAATCATCTTTGGATTCTAATCCTGGGTAGCTCTTTGCTTCATCGGGTTGGTATCTAAAAATAAAAAAGTTAATATAATACCTATTAAATCCTACTCGACATATATGAGGCTAATTTTAGAGGAGAAAGGAAAGAACAGGCGACCTCGCTAGGCGGCAGCACCAACGGAATTTGAAATAAATTTAATAGAATCCAAATTTAATTATTTGAACAACGTATATATTTGAAACGAAAAAATCATGAAATGCACTTTTATTGTAAATAATTTGTTTAAATACAAGTTTGAGGTTTTTCAATTCATTAAATTTGGAATCAATAAATTGTTTTTGTTTGAAATTATCAATTTTTTTCAGTGTATGCTATATATCTTTTTACAAAATTAAAAATATGCAATAGAAAAGTTTTGCAAACGTTTATTTGTATTTAAAATTTGGTTTATAATAACAGTTGGAAAATAATTCATAATAAATTTACAAAATGTTTACGTAAAAAATAGGAGATAGGTAGATAGGAAATTCTACGAAGTTATTACTTTGTCTTACAGATATATCTATAAAACTATTTTTTAAAAGTACTTTGCTTTTAAGGAGCTCTTATTAAAATTCTGTATTATTATACTTTCTTTTTAAAAAATATTTGGATAAAACCCTAATAAACCTTTTAACATTAGTTCTAAAGAATCGTGTGCGTTAAAATATTAAATTTTCACACTAACAATAAAAAATCTATGTGTAGCCATAATGTATACGAGAAGGATGCTCTTAAACCATGATGCGTCGAACATGAAAACAGAACAAAAAATACTTCTATCGAATCTATCGAAAATTTTGAAGTTGAGAGTTAAAAATACGAAATAAAAAAGCTTTGACTAAAAAAGGTTCTTTGAAAGTTTTATGAAGGTATATTAAATATAAATAAGTCCAAAACAAATCAAAATAGTTTTGACTAAGTGCATTTGCTTCTATGAGGTAAAAAAATAAAGATTAATGTTTTTATAATTCTCAATTTGGTTTTATTAATTACTAAAATTTAAGGATATGTTGCACTATGGAATAAAATATTTTTATAATTGGAATCGCTTGATTTACTACTCTTATAATAATACTTTTTGGTTTTAAAATACCCGATGCCAGAACCTTAGAAAAAGATGCGCGTATTTTAGCTTATTGCTGCGAGGATCTTTTCAGGAGATTTATAAAAGTAAAGAATAATTCTTATAATAAAGATATTTAATTCTTATAATAAAGATATTTATTTAAGGCCATAATAAAACTAAAAGTGATACTTGGGAAACAATACAAGCCTTTTTTAAAAAACAAGGTTTAAATTTATAAATCTTAATCTTAACCTTAATACTTATTAACATGAACAAAATCGTAATATTAGTTTTGTTTTATAATTTTTAAATATGAATTTAAAAAACTATAAATACAAAATTACTGCTAAATTCTAAAACCTTGCTTTTTTGAACTCTTGTTACTTTTTTACTTTTTATAATTTAAAACTTTTCTTCAAAAAAATATAAATACTTATTAACATATTGTTTAGATATGCACAAAATGGTAAACGTGCATAAAAAATTTTTTGATTTTTAAATAAAACCATAAAATATTACCTCAAAATAAGAACACAGACAGCCACAATTGTATAGGCCAATAAAGTTCCTATCGACATCATATCGATCAGTTGATTTAAATTAAACAAAGCAGCCATGATCCCTAAAAAGAAAATGATCGTTAATATAGTACATCATTTTAAGTAATTTTTTTTTCAAAATATTTACCTGAAAAAATTCCGGATAAAACTGACGCATAAACAGGTGTTTGTGTTTTGGGGTTAATTTTCGCTAGACTCTTGAAGATGACACCGTCATTGGCCATGGCATAAATGACCCTAGGTAAAGGAAACATTGCGCCCAACATACTGGTACACAGCGCGAAAACAGCACCTGACGTTACGATCCATTTTATGGTGTACCATTCCACTTTTTCGAAAGCCATTGGGAATGGAGCATCAGCATCCTAAAAATAATCCCATATGTATTTTTAAATACTTTACTAAAATTTAAATTAAAATTAATTTGTTATTAGGAAATATGTAAGAACAGGAACGGAAAGTGCATTTTCTAATGCAATAGTTGATGTATGAAATCATGAAATTAGTCTTGAAAATTCCTTTAAAATATGTGTATTTAAAATAATGGACACTTTAATATACAAATTACCAGATATTTTTTGTACTAAATAGATGCAATTTTAATTTTTAATTTAAATAAATAATATGAAAACAAGTCACTATAATTTCTTTTAAATCCTTTCATGATTATGTTATAAAAATCAGATTTGTTAACATGTTACAGTTTACAAGTTTTGTAAAGGTAATATGCAATTTTGTAAGCATTTTATTAATTTTCGAAGGTTACAAATTATTTCGTTAAACAAGTACCTACACGTGATTTCAAACAGCCAATCAAAACATTTCCCACTGACTTTTGGTACATCCAACTTCAGCACAACAAGTTCAACTGACTTTAGAATCTGCAACTTATGTTTCTGCTTACTTTATTCTAATTCGTAACATGTTAGTAACAACTGTCCAGAGTGTTTATAATATATTACCAGAAATCCGTTTTTATTGTTATTAGGATTCCTTATATATACATACACGGAGAGAAAAGTATAATGCTGATTACCATAATTATAATACCCTTTACTATAATTTATATTACTATTTGGGAAAACTATCTTGTATATTGCCAAATACTATGCCTATTTAGTAATTTTTAAATATCCATGTATGTTAAACCTTAAGGTAAAATATTATTATTTTCAACCAATTTTGTTTTTAATTCTTATTATAATTAGATTTTTTCCATTACTAATAAGTATAGTACATTTTAAAATTTTATGTTGCCATTTTAAATTTAAAATATTTTTAAATGTTAACAATTAAAAATTGTTATGAGAAAGAATTGAACCTACACCTCGCCAAAGTTTTTTGTTTTGAGTGCGTTCCATCAACTTCAAATACCGACAGACAGGTGTTTTGACCTATATTGGGTATCATCAGTGTCGACACGACACTGTCGAGCAACTTGTAGTAGTAGAACACACCCGAAACAAAGAAATACCTGAGCTTATATAACATGGTTGGTAAGCCAACAGAGGCGAGATGTAAGAACATCACGTGATCCACACCGTCTAACGACGCCTCGCGACGTGGCCTTTGCCGCAATCGGTACATACTATGCAACCAAGTAGATTCAATTATTTCTTATAATTATTACCAGTAATGGGTCGAGAAAGTTTATTGAAGAAACTAAAAAATTGAATGTTTAAAATGTCATGAGTTACTATATTGTATATTATATTTAAATATATTGATTATTTACCTTTAAACATAAAAGTATCTTTATTTTTACTATTTTTTTTTATTAATGTATAATATATTATAATATTAGATGTACACCTTACATTTGATTAAATCATATAGTAAATATTACTATTTGTAGATAGTAAAATCAATTTACTATGCGTTCGTATATTAAAAATTAAAATATATATTAAACATTTATGATTTAGTAATATTGGTGTTGTAATCTTTACTAAAATTGTATAATAAAAATAGTATTTTGTATTACAATCTTAATATTTGTATTGACGAATATATTATATTGTTACCCTAAAAATTTGTTAAAGTAAATTTTACTATATTTTTTTTACTATCTAAAATTTACTATACATTTCTCTCCGTGTATATATAACGAGTGTGCGAAGTATCCGAAAAAAGATGCCTTCACTGGTTTTCAAACTGAAATTAGGGAATACAGTGAAGTGCACTTCCCATGGGATCAGTAAGTGTTGTAGTAGACTGATAGTTATATTGTACCAAATTTCTTTATAGGTAATTTGATTATTTCAAAATTGTGTTATTTAAATGTGTGTATTAGGGAATACAGTGAAGTGCACTTCCCATGGGATCAGTAAGTGTTGTAGTAGACTGATAGTTATATTGTACCAAATTTCTTTATAGGTAATTTGATTATTTCAAAATTGTGTTATTTAAATGTGTGTATGTTATTTTTGTGTTCATTTATGTAGGTATGTGTTACTTTGTTTGTTTAGGAAACTGATAAATAAAGCAACATTTTTTATTAAAATTCTTTTCATTTAAGTCCCCAATTTCCAACAAATACTTTCGATACTGGGTCTAGAAAAAGGTTTGTAAAAATAAGGTCCTTTTAAAAATTACAAGAATTATTGTTAAATTATTGACATAGAATTTTAATAAATCTACAAAATATCCATTATAATTACAAACTTCTTATGCAATTGGTAAACAAATTACAGTTGGTTGAAAACTGAATTAACATAAAATCTGGTTAATATTTGGTAAAAAATATTTTTGTACTGTATAACTTACCTGTTCATAATAGGGAAGCATAAGAGTCAAGACGGTTGAAATGCCAAAGTAGGCGGCGAAAATAATTGCCAACGAAGTGACAATGGCCCAAGGAATGTTCTTTTGTGGATTTTTGGCCTCTTCGCCTGTAGTAGCCACTGCATCAAAGCCAACAAAACCGTAGAAACATTTTGCTGCTCCTTGCATGACTCCGGAAAATCCGAACGGCATAAAACCGCCATTTCCAGCGATACTCTGGAAGTTTGCTGGGATTTTTTCTTTTGGGATGTTCCAGTTAAACGTATTTGCTAAAAAATATATTTAATAATAATAATGATTATGACTACCTATTAACAAAGTAAATGTACCTTTAATGGACCCAGCAACAATAACAATGCCCACCGTTAATAAATTTAATACTGTAAATATGTTGTTTAAAATTGATGATTCTCTTACGCCTGCAGAGAGAAGTCCTAAAAATAAAAAACATAATTCGTAAATAAATTTTACAAAAATGGCGAAAGCGCCAGGATTAATTTAAAAATTATTATTATTGGGTAAAAAATGTTAAAATTAATAAATAATATATATGTATATTAGGGTGTTTAAAAAAAACAATTTTTTTTTCTAATGGTGTTGAAAAATTAATAGTACATTATAAAACAAAAATGTTGACGCCTATTTGAGCCCTTAATATTAATATTAAGGTTTGCCTCAATTCATTTGTTTTTTTCCATTTCAATAACACGGGAATTTTTATTTTTTTAATTTTGAATTCTTATAACTTTGGAATGGTTTGTTTTCGCAACACCCAAGCAAGAGGAGTTATAGACAATTTCACGCTCTACAAAAAACATTTGAAGGTCAAAGTTCTTCAGATCAACCGTTTCAAAGATATCAGCGATCAAAAATAACACTAATAAATTTTTTTTTTAATATTTTCAAATAAAATACAAAAAAATATCATATGCCATATTTATATTATTTTTTATGTGAAATCACTTTAATTCTGTTAACCTGTAAACTTTTTTTTTATTTATATACAGGGTGCCCCATAACTAGCGTGCAATACGTATAAAAATAAGAAAAAAAGTTCTTATAAACATAGGTCAAGAAATGCTTTCTAAGGGAGATACATTCCCCGAAAGAGGAGCACCTGAGGATGGTTTTTATTTAATATCTCCAAAACCGTTCAAGAGAGAAAACTGAAATTTTGGGAATTGATCAAACTTTTTATGGCCAATAAGATGTAATATTAACAATTTCAAAATTTCCATGGTGGGTGGTCAGATAGATGGGGAGTAGGGGTTAAAACCACCTCAACTTTTTTGTACGTGTCTTGTGCAAGGATTTGATATCAGATTATAAAATTTTTGAGTTTTATAAATAAAAAAGGTCATCTTGTTTAACTTTCATATCATGCACCGTTTTCGCTTAAATTCGATTTGAAAACTACCTTACATGGCATAAAAATTCATTATGAAACTAAATAAAAAGATTCAGCGTAGGCCATGGAACACGGCCTGCCATGTTTAGGAAAAGTTATTCAAGATAGGTGACAGTTTCATGTAATAAGTGACAGGGTGTTTAAAAGTAGTATTTAAAATCTACCCCGAAAGAGGAGCCCCAGGGCTCCCAGCAGTCCATGTTGCGAGAAATAGTGACTTAAGAGACTAATAATAAATAAAAAGACTAATAATAAAAAGACTAATAATAAAAAATAAACGACCAAATATAGACCAAATTAATTACCGAAATAACTATAAAATGGAGGTAGACATTTTTTGGGATAAAAGATCTAAATTTGAATTTAAAATACATAGATCTATAGTTATCTCTATAGAGATAACTTGAAATTATAAATTTTTATTGAATTAAATTTAACAAGTAACCATAACTGTTATAAAATACATAAATAACAAAAAAAATATTAAATTCTGTAATAAATTATAACTTATAATAAATAGAATCACATTTAGACCAAACCAGAAACAATTCAGTAATAATTTTGGCGGGCGGTTCGGGTCTGGACGGCGGGAACTTTAAATGTAAACTGCGAAGTTTTCGAATGTTTCACTTGGTTTACTGTGGTTTCGATATTTATAAAACTATGAATATTTATATTATTTTTTAATAGTTGATTTTAACAGAAAATATAGACTTTATAGACTTTAGGTAAAAAAATAGACTTTTATAGCCCTGAGGAGCCCCTGAAAATGGTTTTTATTTTATATCACAACCGTTCAAGATAGAAAAGTGAATTTTTGGGAATTGATCAAACTTTTTATGGACAATAAGATGTAATAATAACAATTTTAAAAATTCCTCGAGGGGTCTACCCCTCATGGAAATTTTGAAATTGTTTTTATTACATCTTTTTGGCCATAAAAAGTTTGATCAATTCCCAACACGTACAAAAAAGTTGGGGTGGTTTTAACCCCTACTCTCTATCTATATGACCACCCCTCATGGAAATATTGAAATTGTTATTAGTACATATGTATGTAGGGTTAATATGAATTTTTTAAATTAAAGTGCTGTAACAAACAATTTTTGAAATTTGTCCAATTTTGTAAAAGAAACTACCTATTTTATTTTTTTAAAAACATAATTTTAGGGATAAAAACCTTATGAATGTGTATAATAAATTTTTTTAGGTTAAACAAAGTGGTTTATATCCCTAGAAAATGGTATATGTGGTATATGTATTGTGGTATATGTTGTATATGTATTGTGCTCTGCTAAACTCAAAAATCACAATATTTTAAGTTAAAACGGCTAACGTGATTGCTAAAGGTGTCAAACTAAACATGGACGTCTACTGTTTAACTTATTAACACTTATCTTTCCAACTTTTTTTTGTTGAAAAATCTCAATAACCAGAGTGACGACTTGGTGGAAGATTTCTCCAAGAAATGAAGTCCATGAAGTCGCTCTATCAGAGTTTTTTAGATGAACTATTAGTGAGAAACTATATTTTGTTTCTCATAAGAAAATCAGATACCGAAAAAAACACAAGACGATCAAAAAGATAAAACTAATTTATTATGATTTTTATTCTTTTTTGGACAAAAGGTAAAAGTTGCATTCTTAATTTTGTAAAAAAACTCGAGATATGACCTAAGTTGTAAAACCACCTTAGAAACCCAAATGAAAAACAATCATATCTCAAAAACCTTGGAATATAAAATTTCATTGTGTTTTTTGAGTTTAGCAGACCAAAATATATTAAAAAAAATAGTGGCATTAATTTGTAAACCTGTATAATTGATTAAATCTTTATGAATAACATTTTGGGTAAATGTTTAAAAATTCACTTTACTAATTTTGTATAACTTTAACAATATTGTTTTCCATTCAAAATTGATGGAATTTTTATTTTAATTTTATTTTTACATACACACCTTCACATGTATGTATGTACATATTTATTTTTATTGCTTAACAGCTTAACAGCTTTATAAACATGAATAAATAAGTAAATCTACCTCAAGGGACTTACCCATGTACCATGTAAACAATAACATTCGTAATAACATTAAATATTGGTAATGAACAACATATTTATAAAAAGTGGTACTTTTTATTACTCACAGGATAAGTTAATAGGTTTAATTTGTTTACCAGTACATAGAGCAAAATTTGTCCAACCCCGAAACATTTTTTTTAACTCAGCTCTTCAACAAGAATGTGGTTTATCTCGAAAAAGCAAAATTCATATAAACTTTTTTCCTACAATGGACCGTTTAGGAGTTATAAAAATTGGGATCATAAAATTTCCTTTTAATAAAAATGATTTTTTTTGTTTTCACCCTTATCAGCAGGGGGTAGGATCCCGCAAAGTTGGGGTTAAGCTTTTCTGATGAATATGGTAAGGTAATTTATAAATAAATAAATACCTTTTTATTATTAAAATTCCAACGTGATACTTGAAATTTGTGATTAAACTTTGATTTTATTTTCTAACTAATGACGATATATTTTGTTTGTTAATAATATAAATGTTTATCTCTAGTATTGGCAATTATACAAATTTTCATGTTTTTTAATCTAAAGATTTGTTGTCACATTCTTGAAAAAACAATTAATTATTGTTGTAGAATATTGTGAAATAGATAGGTAGGTACATATTAAAGTTTCATTTATAAAAAGTATATAAGCATTAGTATTACTTAGATATACGGTTTGTTCTATGCGTACGATACAAAAGCCGACAAATATATAATATTTGAAGGGGTGAGAAGCAAAAGGGTACAAGTTCATTTTAACAAGAAAATATATGTACAGAATTTATTTCTATTCAAAATTCTTTTCATTTACTTTTCTCATAATGTAAAAATTGTACGAGGTTTACATGTTATTAATGCAAACAACAATATTAAAACAAGTATCCAGATTTTTGTATAGAGCAAAAACTTTAAAAGTTAATTACTCCACTTCTCTTTTTTGCACTTGTTCCCTTTTGCTTCTTTAATTTATTTTGGTTTTATATATTCTAGTAAAATATTTAAACAAAAAGGCAAATATTATTTGTATCTATTACTAATACTCGCAATTGAATTTTAAAACTATATTTTACTTTTATTAAAAATCGCCATAAAAAATTGTCACATCTTTAAAAACATTTGTATGTAAATTTTTACCCAGTTATATGTATTTTAATAGATCATTAGTATATGTAAGTGTACTTGAACTTTAAATAAATAAATAAATTTTGAAATAAGTGCATAAAGAATTATTGTGCAGAATAATATCAATAATTTAACAATTAAAAATTTGTTGATTACCTTGGTTTACATAGAACACATAGTCGTGTACACTTTTTTAACTGGAAATATTTAATTTTGTACCTTCAGTAATAGACCAGTCAATGCTTAAAAGGGTCGTGTGGAGGGAAATGGTGGGATCACAAATTTTGACTCTGGGACTTTGTTTGGACTACTTAGAAGGTAAACTTACTTTTAAAAGTCCCCACTCCAAGGAGGTAAGCGGGGTGCAAGGGGTCACGAAGAGGGTTAATTTGTTTGTTTTTTTTTATTATAACCCAAAAACTATACAAAACTAATTTCATTTATTTTTACTATCTCGCATAGTTTACGAGATATCTTTGGTCAAAATTTGCTAATTTGGAAAAAATAAATTGTAAAATATTATACAGGGTGTAATAAAACAATATTGGTTTTAAAGTTACCTACCTTAAGATAAACTATAAGTTCTTAAAGGCCACTTATTCTTAGGAATATAATGTAAAGTACTCTTTAAATTAAAATAAAAAACTATTTGCTCTTAATGCCATATTGATCTTATACTGGTTTTATAATACTAATTTGCTTTTTTAAAGAATTAAATAGCAAGTTGTTTTTAAAACAATCCATTTTGGAACAAATAGTTTTAATGTAGTTTTAAGAAGAACTCTTGTTGTACTCATTAAAACCCATTGAGAAAACTATTTTATAGGCCTATATGCTCAATAAAATTTCACTTTAAATACAAAAACATAACTTTTACGTTTTAAAGAGTCCATTAAGAATATTTTAAAGCTTAAAGGTTTTAATTTAGTAAATTTGGTTAAAAAAATGACTGTTTCATTTTTGACCACTTTATTAAAACTAATTCTACCCCCTCCACATTCCGATAAAGCCATCTTCTCAATGAGCTAATTTAGTGAACCAGTGCAGTTCGTTTATCTACTTTATACGTAAAAGAAAATAAGTACACAGATTTGAAATGGAAAATATTAGTGACAAGTATTTTAAATTAATACGAAGTGGTAATTTAAAACAAAAACGGCACAATTCGCCATGATAAACATTTTCAATAGCCAAAGAAAAAATCATATTATTGAAAAATATGGGCCTTACACCCCCTTAAATAATGCAATTTAATAAAAAAAAAGCATTTGGATGTTTAGATGCAAAATAAAAATTAATATTTTTTAATGTAGAAGTATTTTATTGTATTTTGTCATTGTGGACCAGTTGTTAAATTTTTGAGCAGAATAGTTTTCATTTGAATATTTTTTTTATGATCTGCTTTATATATGGCGTTATGTTTAAAATATTACCACTTTGCTATTATTTTAGGATAGGCCCTTTATAGCTAGAAGCTGTTTTAGGATGATCATCTTGAAGATCATTTGATTTTGTTCAAAGTTTTATTGTATAGTTTTAAAGCAACCTCGGAGTTCGCAATAAGAGCATTCGTGTTACTTGGGGGGTCAAACCTTTGATCTTTAAGTGTCTAAGCGCGACAAAAATTTAAATGAAAAAGTAACAAATTTAGATTTGAAAATTAATGTCGGAAATTATCTATATCGCCCTAATACAAAAACTTACCTGTTAATAACAAAACGAAGAAGAAAGATAGAAAATCAGGATATTCCGACAAAAAACTAACATTCATTGGAATCCATTCTGTTAGGGTGTCCCTTATGGCGTGATTTGCAAGAGAATCTATGTAGTTACTTAAACCTCTCGCAACACTAGCTGTGCCTAAAAGTAATAAAAAAATGCCAATTAAAACTATTTTTTTAGCAAATTTTTATTTACATATCTTGAATCATATTTTTAGCAAAAATTTAAACTTACCAATTACATATTCCAAAATAAGATTCCAACCTATAATATAGGCTACGAATTCTCCTACACTAACGTAACTGTAGACATAAGCAGACCCTGCTTTTGGCACCCTTGCGGCAAATTCGGCATAACATACACCTTAACAATAAAATTTTTTTATTAAATTAGAATGTATTCATGCATTTTAAATATTTTGAAATAATACAATTATAATTAAATTTTTGTTGCTTCCACCATTATATAGGTTATGTTTCCATGATGATAAGTTATTTTAAAAATACAAATTGACAAGCTGTGACTTTATGGTGTTTAGGTCACAGGCTCAAGTTAGCTTTAAAATAGCTGACACTTGTCAAGTGTCATACAATCGTCAAAATAAAGACACTAGAAAGTGAGGTTATAATTATCCGACAGATTTAATTTTGAAAACTATTTAATTTTTGTAGAAATAGTATAGTATGCAATTAGTTTTATAAGCTTGATACTTGTTTATTAACCACTTGTGAGTAAAATGCCGTTTATTAAACTTGTTGTATAATATACTATTAAAATAATATAAATAAAAATGTTATTACATAACAAAAAAATTCAAATTATTTATAAATATAAAAATATCTATATTAATTTTCATAATTATCTGTAATGTAAAAACCCAAGGTTAAATTTGTACAATAATAAATAAAAAACAATTTAAAAAAATCGCGAACAATTTTTCGATTACCTAAATAATACTCTGCTCTATAGGTCGGAAGAATGTAAATTGATCAGTTGATCAGTGTAGCAATAAAATTAAACATATGTATGTGTATGTGTGTTTGTATAAAAATAGAATTACTTTTAATTTTACATATATTTGTAGCAGGCAATATAAATTGACCACCCATAACAAAAATTATAAAAATGGCGAATGCGCCGGGGTTAAATTTTAAAACGCTATTTGCCCACAGCTGCTGTGCACAGGTTAAAGTTAAGAAATAAACAATCAGGCATTTCATTATTTCGCCTTCCTTGCGAGTGTTAAAAAAATTAAATTAAGTTAAATAAAATGTGTCTAGTGGTACTATGATAATACTGGCGGATCCAGAAATTTCACATAGCCCAATTTTATATTTTTTTACAATGCTCCATAACTACAAAAAATAATGGCCAGATAATATATTATGTTTTTATTTAAAAAAATTCTTCATGGTTCGGAGTTCATTCGTAAGTTTTGGAATCCCCTGTATACAGGAAATATAGGTATACCTCAGTGGCATGCACACACTGAAAGCACAAATGCATTGCATACCGTTTTAACATTTTTTATATTTTCCCATTTAATTTTAATTCCGATAATATAAATTATAATTTTATTAAAAAGTATAATACAAATTTAAAAAGTTTTCTTAGGCGCCAATTAAAATATTAATTATATCATAGAAAAACATTAAAGTCACAGTCATTAATTACGCTACGTCTGACCGCAATCCGTTACATTAAAAAGCATCCCATAACAAATCAAAGGCATGCATTTATACCGCCAATACTGGATTTATTATGCAAGCAAAATGCAATGCTTAAAAAAAGACAGCCTAATGAAACGATACATAAAAAGACTAGGCGAAGCCACGTGACGGCGACTAGGCGACAAACAATAAGTGAATTTCACTAGATTCACCGTTGCCAAAATGTGCTATGTTTAATATTCTGAAAAACTTTTTCATATTTTTCGAGTCATCTCTGAGACTGACGGGAAATTGGTAAATGTATAAACTGAATTTGTCATTTCTAAATAAGAAAAAACTTTGATATGGACTTATCTCAAAAAATGAAAAATAAAAAAGTTTTTCCTCTTATGAAATCGGAGGTCGGACTGTATACATATATATATTAGGACTGTATACATATATATATTAGGGTGCTTCATTTTAGAGCGATATTTTTTTTTCAAAGTCCCACCTGAAAATCTTGTGACCAGTCAGAAAACAAAAATTTTGAGCTATTACAATGCTCTTAATCTTTATTATAAGCCGTTGCTATTCAATTTTTAAATATTTCTCTTTAAAAACCATTAAAAAACCATGTTTTATTCTTTTCTCCTTCCGCTCGTACAGTAAGAATATTTTTTTCGGTTCTAAAATCTTTATACAGGATGAAATTATTTTCAAAAAGTCTATTTAAGCAAGTCTGTAAGTTGAATATGTTCTTCACAAATTGCCGTTCTAGTCGAAAATCTTCTAAAATAGCAGTAAATCGTATTAGGAGATTAAACTTTTGATTGTAGATAAAAAACGTAAATAACAATTTTGTAGGGAATTTTGTGCCCTACAATTTTGTCACAAAATATTTTTTTTGTATCACTTAAAGTTTAGCTTGTACAGCCAAATTCTTTCTGACGACTGTAATAACTATACTATTAGAGTTACGTGAAAGAGTGGCTGTACAAGCTAAACTATAAGTGATACAGAAAAATATTTCTTAACAAATTTGTAGGGCATAAAATTCCCTACAAAATTGTTATTTACGTTTTTATCTACAATCAATAGTTTAGTCTCCAAATAGGATTTACTGCTATTTTAGAAGATTTTCGAGTAGAACGGCAATTTGTGAAGAACATATTCAACTTACAGACTTGCTTAAATGGACATTTTTGAAGATAATTTTATCCTGTATAAAGATTTTAGAACCGAAATTCGAAAAATATATTCTTACTGTACGAGAGGAAGGAGAAAATAATAAAACATTGTTTTTTAATGGTTTTTAAAGGGAAATATTTAAAAATTGAATAGCAACGGCTTAAAATAAAGATTAAGAGCATTGTAATAGCTCAACATTTTTGTTTTCTGACCGGTTACAAAATTTTTAGGTGGGACTTTGAAAAAAAATGTTGCTTTAAAATGAAGCACCCTAATATGTATATATATTAGGGTGTTTAAAAAAAAACATTTTTTTTTTCTAATCGTGTTGAAAAATTAATAGTACATTAAAACACAAACATTTTGGCGCCTTTTTGAACCCTTAATATTAATATTAAGGTTTGCCTCAATTCATTTGTTGTTTTTCGATTTCAATAACACGGGAATTTTTATTTTTTTAATTTTAAATTAAAAACGGTTGACCTGAAGAACTTTGACCTTCAAATGTTTTTTGTAGAGCGTGAAATTGTCTGTAACTTATCTTGAGTGTTGCAAAAACAAACCAAAGTTATAAGAATTCAAAATTAAAAAAATAAAAATTCCCGTGTTGGAAAAGCAACAAATGAATTTAGGCAAACCTTAATATTAATATTAAGGGCTCAAATAGGAGCCATAACTTTTGTTTTTAATGTACCATTAATTTTTCAAAACCATTAGAAAAAAAAATAATTGTTTTTTTTTAACACTCATTAAAGAAGAATAATTTCAGTTTCCCTGTGCCCTATTCTTATACAAATAATACTAGAGTAGAAAAGTATATTATTATTTATATACATATTCTTGAGGTGAGATTGGGATTTTACGCGCTGCGCTTTTAATTATTATTTTAAAACTTTAGTTAGTTCCTATTCAAGGGAGTGTTGTTTTGTTTGTGATTGTAAGTTTGTTTTGTTGGTTAGTAAGATTTTGTGAATATTTTTAGTGTTTTTAATTATGGAGTGCCAGTGCGATGACAGTGTAAACTGTCTGGAAAAACAAAATTTAATTAAGATTTTTAGATTTACCCTTGGCTTAAAAATCGTGCAGCAACAAAAGAAAACTTCTTGATATTTTATTAAATAAATCGATTACAATTATAAATGACTCTTCGGATTTCGTCTTAAAAATAAAATGTGTTGTTGGCCATGCTTACTCTTGGACAAAGATAAAAATAATTCGATTCTGTTGCATCCCCCATTTTAAATGGCGCTGCACGCCACTGGTATAGGTACCTATATTTTATGTATTTGTAATTTTTAGATAATATTAGTAAATATTTATTTAAAAACAAGGCTATGATCTAATTAATTTTATCTTGGTATTTAATTTCTGAATTTTTATACCATTATTTTGTATTTTTATAAATTTTTAAAAACATTTTTGATTGCTCAAAATATTATGGGATGCAAAATTTATCACAACAATTTAATTTAAATTTTAATCAAAATACGAAATTTTTATTTTTACAAACTTGTAGAAAAATTAAATGTGCTCAATATGGACTAAAACTAAAGAATACTTACACTGAGAGAAAAAAATGGTTTTTATTACCAAATCTGCATTTTTATAACCAAATGCTTTATTCAGTATTTGACTTACAAACGGCTAGGTTATTAAAAACAAATGATTAGCTTCAAGACATTTGGTCATATTTACTTAATAATTTGTTTTTGGTTATTAAAACCAAACCAATTAGTCGTAATAAATAAGTTATTTATTTATAAGAATCAAATTTTTATTTAAAAAAAATATATTTATTTATAAAAAACAAATGATCTTTTTTTGTTAACAAATCGTTTTGTTTTAAAAAATAAGTAATATACAGGGTATTTTAGACTTGTGGTGCCAAAAGTATGAAAAAAAGTTTTTATGAACATGTGTCCGAAAATGATTCGTTTCCGAGATACAGGGTGTTTGTTTTTTTTTAATTGAGTTTTTTATTTATAGCTTAAAAACACTTTTTTATACATTATTATTATTATTTTTGTAACAAAAAAGTATCAAATTTAAACTTTTTTTTTAAATAAAACACCCTGTATCTCGGTAACGAAGCATTTTCGGACACTTGTTCATAGGAACTTTTTTTTCATATTTTGATGAGAGGAATCTCCTCCGAGTTTTTGGCACCACAAGTCTGAAACACCCTGTATTATTAAAACAAAACATGTATTTTTATAATTTAGCGTTTTTATAAAAATTAGGGTTTTCTATATTAAATAACACTCGGCCATTGATAACAATACATTTTATTTTAATAAAAAATAAAAAACATTTTCCTTAAAAAACATGTTTGCAGACAAAAACTTTTTTTTGGTAAAGTAAACTAAACATCTTAAACTTAAGTAAACTAAACATCTTAATTTAAAATTCTTAAACTTATAAAACATAACAAATTAAATTTTGGGAGGTGATGGCAGCCTTTTTATTTTATTTACAAATTTAGAAAAATATTATTTTACCTTTAAATGAGGAACTTAACTCTGTTAAATTATTTTCAATCAAAAATGTATCCATATTTACCTAATTTAGGTATAAACTATACAGCACGTCCGGACGCGTCCACTCCCTTTGCACAAACTAACACAATGGCCGAACTAAAGCATCTACGGCAAATAATCAAAGTGTTTTATCCTGCATTTGTTTTTTATAAGCAAGCAACAACTCGATTTATTCATACAAACTCTATTTGAAAATGGTTTGTTATTATTAAACTATATTTATTTTTTATAACCAAATACAGTGAACCAAATCATTTTTTCAAAATAAACTTAATTAATTCTGAATATAGTTACTAAGAAGTGCTGATATGGTATATAGAAGAATTATTTATTATATTTTACCAAATATATTAAAACAAATCATTTTTTAACTATACCCAGACTATTTCTCTCGGTGTATTTAATCTTTGACGGAAATTCCTATTTTAATTTAAAAAGTATGGGTATTCGAATGTATTTACCTGCTACTGCAGAAGCAATGGCTGCAATTAAAAACGATATGCAAACAGCCGGTCCAGCCACTGTTTTTGCTACCGCCCCCGCCAACACGTACACCCCCAAACCGAGAGTGCCACCCACCCCCAGAGCAGTAAGATCCAGAAGCGACAAGCACCTGTCCAGTTTGCTTTCCTGGTCTTCCTGTGTCTTTCGTCTTACGAGTGCTGACCAAATTTTGCTTGCCATCTAAAATAAATAAACAGCCAGTAAAAAATGTGTTTTGAAATTTTTGTGACACTTTTTTTGATTTTTTTTAAATTTTTTTAGGAAAAATAATACTATCAATATCTGGTTATAATATTAGAATTATTTTAAATAAAAATTAATTTCAAAAAATGTCCATAATTCATATCAAAAATCTTTATCTTATCTAAAAAACAAATGCTCTCTCCAATGGAATTTCAGATGAAGTTATAAATTAATAAAGTGTTCCAGACGGATTAAATTATTAAGCATTTAAGACACAAATTTTACTAATTTGCAACTTTTCGACATGTTATGTTGTTAAACAAATAAGCTTAAGGTTGATTGCATTTAAATCATAAAACAATAAATATAATTTAGAGTTTTATGTTAACAGTAAAAATGACATAATATATTAAACAAAGGTAATTGAAAATAATTATTTTAGTATAGTAGTACTAAAAAATGTTTGCCTAAAAATGCTAAAAAAAGTATATATTTTTTAATTTGCGAACTATTTAATTTTGTAGGCATGTAACCACTACACTTTTAACTAATAAAAATATTTGCTGTTGCTTACGAATTTCTTAAATCAGTGTACACAGTAAATTCTTTGTTTAAATGTTGCAGAATATTTGCCATTTAGGTGACAAAAATTAATAAAGTAATTAATACTTTGTAAGAAAGATAAAACTTCATGGATTATTGTTTTAAACAGTTTTTTTAGTTATTCTGGGTTATGCACACTGGACATTTAATGTGTCAAGTATAAACAGAAGCAAGGTAAAATATAATAATAAAAGTATGAACTGAATTTACGATTAGTTTGGTATTTACTCGTAACAATTTATTCAAAAATTGTATCAAAATTAAAATACCCCAAGGATAATATTATTATTTTAGATAGGCGATTTAAGCTAACATATTTGTTGCTTTAACAACTGATGATACTTATGGTATATTTCTAACACAACATCAAGTGGTTAAATGAATAATCTTTTTATTTGAATTTACAAATTTTTTGTTAAAAATATTAGATATTTAAAAAATGTATTTGTTTTTTGAACCAATTATGGTTTGTTTCTATGACCATATCAACCACAGGCTTCAACCAAAAATTAAATTAAATTAAATGTGACATCAACCAAAAATTAACATTACTTTGTCAAAAACAATTTTACCAAATTTATTATTAAGACGATAAGAAGAAATAGTGACCACATGTTCATAGGAATAATAAATAATTATTTAATTATAATTAGTACACCAAGTTTTTGACATATCCTCACATCATGTAATTTTAATTTACAAATGCTCTTTCATTTTATATATAACGATATTCGTTATGACCGTGTTATTTATTTAAACATTTATAAATAAAACATACAAATGTTAAATTTTTATTATAGCCATTTTTATACCATAGTAAACTGAAAAATTGAATAAATAATAAAAATAATGTTGATTTTTTTATTTGAATTTAAAAAATAGTTCACAAAACCCAATTTAAAAAACGGAAATAATTTTTATAAAATAGTTGATAATTATTTAAGTGAGTAATATATTCTATTACATGGTACTTTGTATAAGTTTTAGTGTGTAAGAAATAAAAAACGGGGTAAATAAATAAAAAGAATAACCCCGCAAAAGCTATTTATGGAGCTTCTCGAGATCGTAATATCGATAGTTATGTTTTTCCGAATTTCCAGAGCTGAAAAAAAAGGTTTTTTTGAATATAATATATAAAAAATCAAATTTTATTTTTTGAAGCACCTACATATTATGTAGGTGCTTCAAAAAATAAAATTTGATTTTTTTTCGCTCTTACCCTCTCAAATGGTTCTATTTAATATAAAAAAATCCTCACCAAATAATTAACATGGGAAAACATAATTTTTTGTTTCGAATTTTATACCTCTGTATCAAAGTAACTTATGGCAATAATCATTGCAACGCTCTACAAAAAAGGTCTCTTATTATTTTTCGATAAATTGATTTCTTCTAGAGTTATTTGAGGTCAAAGTTTGATTAACATCAAATTTTCTGTTCTTTTTAATTTTATGGTACAATTAGCAGACGGGAGGTGAAAGGGGGCAAAACAAGGCAGCGGGGGGCAAAATGGGGTACCTAAAAAATTTCGAAAAAAATTTTTTAGATTGTTTTTTTTTTGGTTTCTAAATTATTTGAAAATATATTGACTCACAAGTTTACGCTTTTAATCGAAAATAATTATTCTGAGCCTGTAGAGCGAGAAAAAGGATGGTACAATTTTGGAAAACTTTTCATATGCTTATTTTTTGGGTACCCCATTTTACCCCTCCCCCCGATGCCTTGTTTTGCCCCCTTTCACCTCCCGTCTGCTGATTGTACCATAAAATTAAAAAAAACCCAGAAAATAATAAGAAAGCTTTTTTGTAGAGCGTTACATTTTATATAAGAAACTGCAATGATCATTGGCAATGATTCATTGCCATAAGTTACTTTGATACAGAGGTATAAAATTCCAAACATGAAATTATTTTTTCCCATTTTAATTAAATGGGACACCAAAATAAAAACAGCGACCTCTTAGAGTTGAGCTGGAACGCCCATATTTCGTGAGGATTTTTTTTATATTAAATACAAACATTTGAGAGGGTAAGAGCGAAAAAAAAATTAAATTATATTTTTTGAAGCACCCTAATATATAAAAATAAAACAAACAAATAAATTGGTTTTCGACCCAAAAAAAACAGAAAACGAATAAATTTGTAATTTTTTTCCATAAACCTAATTATTTAATTATAAAATTTAACAAAACTTGTTAGCCTTTCCAATTTGTCATTATTTGCAAAGAGGCCTTCTAGATTTTGCAATGGGCCATTGTCGTTTATGTATTGGTACATCCACTCCATTTTTTAAAACAAATTATACGCCTTATTTAGTTAAATTATTTATTATAATTCCTACGAATTTTAATCTAAATAATTTTTAATACCTATTAATAAAAATATTTAAATTTACAATAATTTTATTCTTATTGTTATAAATTTGTAGGGAAAGTGATGTTTAAAAAATAAATAAAAAATTTGCAAGTTATTAAGCATTTAATTAAAAATGCATATCGCACATACCTATAAGAAAGGATTGATATTGAAACAAAATTAACAAAGCATCTAGCAGTTTTATTATAACTGAAGAACTACTTTTTAGAAGAAAAAAATTCTAATTTTTTTATACGCACCCCGTGGGTGCGCCATTTTCCGGACATGCTGTATATTTATTAACAATTAAATTGTTAATATCATTAGTATGTATTTATTTTGCCTTGAATTACGATTTTTTCATATGGAAAACGACAAGGTTAGATAAAAATTGAAATTTAAAAATGAAATCTTTACATTGCATTATGATAGTAATAATAATAATATTATTAATAAAAAATGTATTGTCTTAATCAATCAGGAACTAACATTTTTGACGAGCTACTTGAAAAGGTTGAATTACATTTTAGACAAGCCCTACCTTAATTATGTTAGTTTTATAGAATAAAAAACCCAAATCTAATTATTAAATTAATATTATTTAATGCTATCCATATTTTTAATAAAATAACGTTCTTTCTTTACATTGGCCTAATATTAACAAAAATACTGAAAAACTGCTTGAGGTCACGCTCAATGAGGTGAAAGAAAATGGAAATAGCGTATTTTTAAATTTATAAAAATGTAACTAAAATGGACTTTGTTGGATTTGATATTAGACCTCTGAAATATCAGTTAATAAACTTTTATAGTCAATATGTATTTTTACATCGGCAAAATTACGAACTGGCTGGATTTGGTATTCCTGGCACTGTAAAAGTTGGAATACCAAATTCCCGTGTTAATATTTTAGGGGTATAGAAGCAAAATCAGCAATATCAATTTTGTAAAAATTTTTAAGGCACACAATTTTCTTATACAACGTTAAAATTTTATTTATTTTTACGTTTTTTTTATATTTATGTTAATTTTGACATGTAAAAATAAACATACATTACAAAAAATCATAAAAAATACATGAAGTTTTAAAGCTGTATTGGAAAACTGTGTGCCCTAAAAATGTTTACAAAACTAAGATTGCTGGTTTTGCATATATCTACCCCTCACTTCTTTTATCCCGTCCACAACTTTTATTTATTGTATATATAGTAGGGTGTTTCAAAATAGGGCAATATTTTTCTTTTTTCAAATTCAAGTGAAATTATCGTCACTTATGCTAAAAAATTTCTGTCAAAATTTGAGCTTATTATGAAAATAGGATTTTAGACACTTTGAAATGTAGGTGATAAAAAAAATTGTTTAAAACGAATTTGAAGAACATTAAAAGATCTTCAACATTGCTAATTGACTTTTTTCTACGATTAGTAGTTTAGCCGCTAAATGTAAAAATGTCAATTTTTTTTTAGAATTTATACGTTTCAACGTTAATAAAAAAGAAACAGTTAAATCTACAGACTGGATTCTGAAAGATTTTTTGTAGACAATTTAATGCTAAAAATGGTCCAGTGATTGTTTATCAAAAAAAAGTTGTACATAGTATGTCGGCGAAATAAATCTTAAAAAACTATTTTTACTTGTTAACTGAAAGGAAAAATTCGATGATGGACCTTTGAAAATTAATATTACAGACTGGACTAATGTATATAATTTAATGCTTAAAAAGGACCAGTGATTGTTTATCAAAAAAAAAGTTCTACATAGCATGCAGGCGAAATAAATCTTAAAAAACTATTTTTCCATGTTAAATCAATGGGAAAACTTTAAATTCGATGATGGACCTTTTAAAATTAATATTAAGAGCTCAAATTTTGACAGAATTTTTTTTTATCATAAGTAACGAGAATATCACACGAATTTGAAGGAAAAAAATATTGCCTAATAAAAGAAGAATATATTTGACAATGTTGATGACAAAATAATATATAATAAATTACCTATAACTTTTTTTTTATAAAAAAAAGTTTTGTGTTTTGTATCTTCGGCATGCTTAAAATGGCTCAATTATAATCTATTAAAAGGTTGCTATTAATAAAATTGATGGGCCACTGGATTGAAATTATTTTTTCATCTATCATCTTAAATTCGCGAGCAACCGGTTTGTTGGGGCCTTCCAAAATTGGGTCTCACTTTTAAAATAACAAAAGGTCCCAGCTGTTTGTCTGTAACAGGTCCTGTAGCAGTACTATTGCGATTTACAGGTAATAATTTACGAAAATAAATTCGCGAATAAATATATTTTTTATACGGCTTACTTTCACTTACATACTTTAATTGGGCAATTTTGATTTAAATTAACCAAATTTTATATCAATAGCACGCCTATTTAATATTATTTACATAACCCTTTTACTTTTCATATTCAATTATGGATATTTTGCACGATCTAATGATTGTATTTTTTTATGAATTCCACGGATTACTTGCAATTTGTAATAGTTATTCAAAATATAGATTAATCATAAATACTTATATTAAAGTGTCATTTTGAATTTATAAATTTTTAAACGATAAGCTTCACATAGCAAATTAATTTTCATTTTAAAATACGTCATAGTGGTTTTGTAGTTATTAGTAATAAATTATTATTAACAATAAAAATAATTGTCACGGAACTAATCGTTTTTTATGAATATTATTTAAGTTTATATATAGACTCCATACCATCTTTGTATTAAATTTTTATTAAAAAAAAATTGTTACTTATTACAAAAAATACTATGTTTACTAGGGTGCTTCAAAAAATAAAATTTAATTTTTTTTCGCTCTTACCCTCTCAAATGTTTCTATTTAATATAAAAAAAATCCTCACCAAATATGGGCGTTCCAGCTCAACTCTAAGAGGTCGCTGTATTTATTTTAGTTTCCCATTTAATTAACATGGGAAAAAATAATTTTATGTTTGGAATTTTATACCTCTGTATCAAAGTAACTTATGGCGATGATCATTGCAGTTTCTTAAATAAAATGTAACGCTCTACAAAAAAGCTCTCTTAATATTTTTCGATAAATTGATTTCTTCTAGAGTTATTCGAGGTCAAAGTTTGATCAACATCAAATTTGCTGGGTTTTTTTAATTTTATGGTAAAATTAGCAGACGGAAGGTGAAAGGGGGCAAAACAAGGCAGCGGGGGGGCAAAATGGGGTACCCAAAAAATGAGCATATGAAAAGTTTTCCAAAATTGTACCATCCTTTTTCTCGCTCTACAGGCTCAGAATAATTATTTTCGATTAAAAGCGTGAACTTTTGAGTCAATATATTTTCAAATAATTTAGAAACCGAAAAAAATAATCTAAAAAAAAATTTCTTTTACGAAATTTTTTGGGTACCCCATGCTGCCTTGTTTTGCCCCCTTTCACCTCCCGTCTGCTAATTGTACCATAAAATTTTAATAAAACAGAAAAATTTGATTTTAATCAAACTTTGACCTCGAATTACTCTAGAAGATATCAATTTATCGAAAAATAATAAGAGACCTTTTTTGTAGAAAGTAACATTTTATATAAGAAAATGCAATGATGATTGCCATAAGTTACTTTGATACAGGGGTATAAAATTCTAAACATAAAATTATGTTTTCCCATGTTAATTAAATGGGAAACTAAAATAAAAACAGCGACCTCTTAGAGTTGAGCTGGAACGCCCATATTTGGTGAGGATTTTTTTATATTAAATAGAAACATTTGATATTGATACTTTTGGTGTGAAAAATTGTTTTTAGTCCTTTTATAAAAATACATTATCTACTATAGTATTATTAAAACCGCCCTTATGACTAGGCTTGTCACTTTGTTTTACCCGAGCGTCTACAAAAAACGATTTAATCTGAAAAGTGTGTGGACGGCAGGTTTCTTGCTAAAATGCTTTCGTACCCTTTTACTCAGTTTTCGGTCCCAAACATAGTTGTGTTAACAATTAAGCCCTTAAAAACAACTTAAAATCTTTAAATAATAATATGATATTAAATTTTATCCTTAAAGCTTTATAAAGATCAAATATTAGTTACACAATTTTTTTGTGTTTTTTTTAATTTAAATTCAATATTAAGAAATAATTAAAAAAAAACAATCTAAATAAAATGGAAAACTTTGAGAATTATTAAACAAAGTTCATTGTATTTATAAAATTGTTATTTTAAATATGTTGTTTACCTGCTATATTTGAAATCAACATTATTATTTCAGCCAAAAAGGTTAAATAAATAAGTACTCACCTATAAGCTGTTCATTGTTGACAATTTTTTGTCAACAAACGTTTTTATGATTCTTTTTTCTGATTTATTTTCCCAATTATTTGCAGATTTTACAAAATATAAAATTTTTGCTTGACCAGAGAGTTTATTATCTATAGATATATAGACCCATAGGTCTCAAGAAAGACTTTTTTTTAATTTGCAGTTAAAATCCTGATTTACAATTTTAATTTCAAGTACTGCAGGTATATGTGTTTGCAATTATCTTAAGATAATTACCTTTTAAAAAATATAAATAATACAATTTCCTGAGTAATGCACAAACTAATAAAACAATTATTTAAAAATATCACAGTAAATATTTTCTGGTTGATTTTTTTTTAAACTTAAAACACTGATCACTAAGGTTCGCACATTGATTTGTTTGTAAATAAAAACCGCGACTTTGGTGTTGCGATACCTTTTAACTAAATACAGAGACAGGTAGAAGGTACCTACACTGTGTAGGCTACACACCGTGCACTTGCTTAATCGCCCCCCCCTCTTGGCGAACTTTAATTAATGAAATTTGAAGGGGCAAAAAAATTTGCTTGCACGTGTTTTAAAAAAAAAATTAATGATTTTTCAGATCTTCTAGTGGGAACATTCTTGTCTCTAATTAATAATGTTTTATAAATATTGACTTTAATCTCATCGTCTACGATCTATAGATATATTTTAATTTTAAGTATACCAAATGATACAATGTAAGGGTAAAATATCTTGAAAATGTAATTTTTAATGATGTGCTTATACTTTGGGGTGTACATAATTTCCCAAATCATTTTGTGACGAAATAAAAAAAAATTGCCCCACCAGTGGTGCACGTGCCCCTGCAAACATATTTTAAGATATTTTTTTTACAAAAATTAGGAGATACAACTTATCTTATTTAAATGACTTGGGTTTAACTAAATAATTTTCGGAAAATAAAGTTTTTTTTTTAAATCGCCGAAATTTTGGTCCCATTCATTGGAAATATTGAAATATATAATACATTATAGGAACCTCGGAAAAAGGCGACTCCGAAAAACTTTAGGGGGTGTGATACCCCCCTAACACCACCATTGAATTTTGAATTTTGAATTTTTACCACAAAAATAATCTTCCTAGACAATAAGACATTTTTAACCTCCATGAAAAATTACTAGATGTGTTTTGATTTATCATTAAATTATACAATAGTAGGTAAAACCAAGTTCTAAAAAAAGTACTTTTTTTAATTCAAAAAAAGAATATAATCAAAGAGTAGGTATAGCTACTTATAGGGACACCTAATTAAAAATGTTTGTACACCTAATTAATACAAGAAATAATGCACATAATCTCGAGTGTACCTAATACTAGGTATACTTATCTACTCCGATAAGTAGATTATCTACTGTAGATAATAAAATGTTTTTAAAAAATAAATAAATACAATCTGACATCTTTTAATTGGTAACCTTCACTTTTTATCTATTTTAAATGTTACTATAGTGGCCTTCTTTCAATTTAAAACACGATTGGTTCAAATCACAGTGAATATTTGTATAGAGCGACATCTATAAAACAATAGGGGAATCTGTGTTACCGTCAAATGTCAAATTTGTATGTGTAAATTGAAATGTATTTCTTAAAAATGGATTAGCAACAGTTTTTCACAGTGAAAGTGAAGAGTCCGAGTCCGAATTTAAGTTATATTTATAGTTTACTGCCGGCGAAATTAAAATATCAGTACAATGTTCATATAAATTTTTCAAATATTGTCATTCATAAATTAACTTTTTTATTTTTGGATTGAGATAATATTTATAATATTTTAAAATAATATTCACATTTAGTATTATTTTACAAGAAGGGAACTTTATTTTAAAGATTGTATGACATTTGACAACTGTACTTAAAACTAACTTCAGCCCGTGACTAAAAACCTGTTGCTAACTTCAGCTTGTGACTAAAACTTGTAAATGTATATTTAAAGGTCACTAATTAGTGTCATGTACGATAATGGGCATTTTAAAGGTGGAAGTAGAAAAAAATGTTTTTTTAAGAGCACAATAATTTATTATTAAATTATTATTAAATTCTGTACAGAAATAAAGCTATAGCTATAGCTATATATAATATATATATATATATATATATATATATATATATATATATATATATATATATATATATAAACATATATATAATCTTCAGAGATTTTTTAATTAAATGCTTGAAAAAAATTACTATAATATATTATAAAACTCGGAAAGCTTAATAATTGCCTCGGCACCAGTGTTGCCAGAAATGCAGAATTTTCTTCAATATGCAGAATTTTAGCCTACATGGAGAGCTAATGAAGAAAAGAAGAATATTTTACAAAAACCACTACAATATGAAGAATTTTTTAAATTCACATGTTTTTTTTATTTTTCAATTTTTTTCAATTTTCTAAAATATTTAATTCTTTAACTCGATTTTAACACTGTTATGATATGATTTAAAATTTAAATTTTAAATGTAATTATTTTATTCATTTCGTATGCATTCTGACATCTCTCGGTAAAATGGTATAAAGACTCGAATTGCATCACTGGTGCTACACTGGGGAAGCCCCGAATTTTAATAGATATGATTGGTATAAAATAGGTATATTTATTTTATTTATAATTCATAAATCATAACTCCATAAAATATAATATACCTACTATATTATAAATTATAATATACCTAGTAGGTATATTATATTTTAAGGATTCGCATGGATGCACATGTGTATTGTGTATTAGAGATTTATTTAAAAATGCGTTCAAGTGAAGAAGATTCTTAAGGGTAAATATTACAATTTTAAATATGTATGCATATTTAATAATTAAATGAGTGCCTTTGCCACAGCAAATAATAATTAAGTATTTTGTATCTTATCTTATAAGATTTTCCAAAATCCTCGAACAGGGTGGCTCTGTGAAGTGCCAAGTGAAGACACAAAATTTGAATGTCGATGGTGTAATGCAATACTTTATAGGGGTGTTTTCAATAATGAATGATGTGAAAACAAAAAAACGAAACAGACTTCAAGAAAATACTTTGAATTCATCGATTAATTTCCTTTGCGTATTGCGTACCCATTTTAAAGATACTAATTCCTAAATCATGGTGTAGTTTTTTGTTCTGCCTATAAAATTAATTTAATTTTAATTTTCTGTAATTTGTAATACCTGTTTACCATAAAAGATATTTGACTTTTAAAAATATTTTTTTAATTATTATTAAGTACCTAATCCAGTCAGAAGGTTTTTTATCTAATGACGTTTTACATCTCTGCAGAAATATGAAGAATTTTTAAGGTTAAATTGAAGAAAATTGGTATAAAGAATCTGGCATCACTGCTCGGCACCATAGATTCGGCACTGCCGAGTCGGCAGTGAAATGTACACTGAGAGAAAAGAATATTTTTAACAAACGTTGCAATTGTTTGAGCCTGATAGCTTTGAATCAAACAACTGAAATTTAATTCAAAATTAGTGCTTTTGCTTAGAATAGGTGAACTGCTTTGCCAGAAATGGTTGATTCGTTTAGGGTGCTGTGTTTGCTTGGAATATTATTAAGTTCTATGCAAACTTTGTACTGATAGTCATTAGGATTGTGTTTTTTACGTTTGAATAAAATTTTTGTAGGTTTCCATAAAACGTGCAATATTTTCCACTAAAATTTATTAATGGGTTAACTGAAATAGATAAAACTTATTATAAATCTGCTACCCTTTTTGCGAAAAGCTCAGCATTTGAAACAAATATATATATAAGTTTGTAGCAAACATATCGAAGTTAATGGGTAATTGTGCTTAGTTTGGAAAGGGCAATTTTTGGAGGGGGGGAACATCTCTTGAAACGCGTCTTCTCGTGCACGTACAGTGTCTTATAAAGTTTTAAATTTACCTCCACTTATACATACGGTTCTTACAAAATAATTTTGCTTCCATGCAAACATTTGGATGAAACGGCATAACGTTTAAGAATATCGTATAAATCGTCGGCCTTATCACGAAGTGGCCTAACCCACAAAATTGAAAACAGTGACATTTTGCGAGAGTTAACTTACGTTGGTCTATTCTATTACTCCACGAGGTGACCTATAGTACAAAGTCTGTACAATAAAAATACATTTCTTGATAATAGAATAAACCATTGTAAGTTAATCTGCGAAAAATCTCATTTTGTTTTTCAATTTTGTGGGTTAGGCCACTTCGTGATAAGGCCGACGATTTATACAATATTCTTAAACAGTATGCTGTTTCTTCCAAAGAAACCGTAATTTCTTCAGAAATGCACGTACGTTGTATGAAAATGAACTTAATTGGTAACAAGCAGATACAAATTTTTTCTAAAATTAGTAAGTTTAAGGCAAACCTACATCGATTTATACAAAATCGACTATACTGGTAGCAAGCAATTACCAATTTATCAGAAAAGTATTCAACAAAGAATTCAAACTCATCAAATTTGACACAAATCTAGATGCGTTTCGTTCAAAAGCAGTTTTCCGGAATCTCCAAAGTGATGGTTTTTTACCATTAAACCTTGGTATATTCCGCCGTATTTAAATATGTCATACGTTTGAAACAAACTTTATGCCTTTCGCTGAAATACAACCTTCTCTCAGTGTATGCTCGGCGATAATATGTGCTTTCTAGGCGGAGCTCCGCCTTGTCTATAATGTACTAATTACAAAAACTGTTTTTATACAAAAAATTGTAGAATAGTATATTAAAGAACTAATGTCATAAGACGTCATTTTGTCGCACGCGGACAATTTATAAAACGAGCGACGAAGGAGCGAGTTTTATAATGGACAAGTGCGACAAAAGGTTTTATGACATGAGTTCTTTATGCTATTTTATCTATTTTGCAAACATTTCATAAAACAAATTAATTTTATACCTTATATTTAATTTGGTCGAATTTTACTTTACATAGTTGGTATCTCAGTTTGAAGTTTGAAAGGTCATTAACCTTTCAAACATTATCACATTCTTTCGCTATGGCGTCGTTAATTTACAATAAGTATTTACAATAAGCGGCTGTTAAAGAAGAAAAAAGGATTTTCTTTGGTGTTAAACAAAATTTATTGCACGAAAAGTCTCGTAAGTACTAGAAAACAAATCATAAAAATATTATAACCTATAGGTATTCAAAATTGTATTTTACCAGTAGCCAACCTATAAAATCAAAATTTTGGGTGGAATAAAGTACCTCATTAATGAACCAAAAGCGGTGTTATAATGAAGTCATTATGAAACCAAAATAGATAAAATTTATTATATAATATTTGACATCAAAAATATTCTTATTTTATTAGGCTATACCTACGTTAAATTTAAAAAAAAACGCAAGAAATATTTTAGAAAAGATAATTTTAATAATTGAAAGGTCGTCACCCTAATATAACAAGGTTGTATGTAAAAAAAAATTATATTAGGGTGACGAGGTGTGGACGGGACAAAAAAAAAGATTTATCTT